TCACAATAAATGTAGAACCAATTCAAAATTTTCAGAACGAGTTTACTCGAAAGTTTGTGTGCTCCAATAAAATYACGGCTATGGTATCATTGCAGACATTCTTTGAGGRGTCTGTTTTATAGCGAACAYAAGTATTTTAGTGGCACAAAGCATTCAGTGAAKKAAGCTGARTAAGGAATACCAACTAGYCATTTTATGTGAAGGAATTCGTCTTAAACGAACGGATTTGTGGGATTCCTGGATTTTGAGTACTAATGTTCACTTGCTAATCTCGCTTTGGATTCCGAAATAAAACTCTTTATGTTTTTTTCAATTTTGATAAAATCAGAAACAATTTATTTTGCAAAGAAACCATTGAAGTTGAACATTTTTGCTTTGCTTATGTGTTTAATGCCGCTTGATGCCTGTTATACGAATAAAATTCATCATGAAATGATTTCACAAACGCTTGTTTTACTCTTTCATCCATGATACGAAAAACTACAACAAAGCACATTTCAAAAATATTCCATAATTTGTAACGAAAAATACTTTATTCTCTTTTTCACAATCTGCATTTCATAATTTTCAGCACAAATATTTGCCAATTTAACGAAAATATTTATTCACAATCATCTTTTGCAATTGTTACACAAAAGCAAATTGTAATTGAAATTCACTTTCAACACACAAAAACAAAAATATTTGCATTTTCGAGGTTGACATGCCTTTATACATATGTACATACTCGTACATATATACAGTTGTATGTACAAATGCATTCACGTAAATATTTATGCGCGTTTGATAGTTCCCATTTCGGTATTTTAGCCGAAAGTCACCATCGATSGGTGTTGTTGTTGTGAGTGTTTGTGTGTTCACTGCAATTTCCTATTTCCCGTGGTGTTGTGCYAGAGTTCCGTTTCTCATATTTCCGTTTGGTTTGATGTTTTTGCCAGCGCTTGTGGTGTCACTGCTATAAAGGGAAATTGTTTTCCGCCGGTGGCTTCAAGCCAGAGCAGAAAGACGTCTCTCCTTTTTAGCGTTTTTGGTGGTTTTCTGCATTTGCCGTTGGGAGTTTTTAATTTCTTTGGTATATTTCACGTGTGATAGTTAATCATTTAAATAGATACTTGGATATAGATAGTAAAAGAAATAATGGAAGGGACCTTTGAGTATCTAGCGTATTCGCTTTAGCAAAACATCTTACTATCATAAAGGTTTTTTCAAAAGAGTGATAAAAATGCTTTAGCTCCGTCCTTCCTTTTCGCTGTTTGGCGCCAATTGGAGATTGCAAGTGTAACTCTTGCTCTTCCTTTGCTTTCCSCGGCGGACATTGGGCCGAAAACCTGCAGTGTTTTAATCCATTCGGACGACATGAGCATTGTCTTTGTTCATCGAGAGGACTTTATTTCCCAATTGCCTACTCAGTCCGAAGTAGCACCTGATGGCAAGAGTTGTTCTGCGTTGGATTTTGAGGCTGATGTTGCTGTTGGTTTTAATGCTGGTTCCAAGATTGACGAAATTCTCTACGACTTCGAAGTTATGACCGGCAACAGTGACGCGGAAGCCGAAACACGAGTGCGTACTTCACTTCCTTATCCAGTTTGGAGAAAGCAGAACTAATGGCGCGGGTGTTGAGGCAAATGATATGAATATTATCGGGGTACGCCAGYAGTTGTACACCCTTGGGTCATTAACAATAACGTGATACGAAAATGGTCGTGGTCAAATCSAGGTGAGCCAGCTTAAATGGTTACCAAACCAGGATGGATACCAGTAAGATTCGCTATGTGTTTTGTGATGTTGGCAGGGAATCAGCTACCATGACCTGTTCACCTCGGGTCAAATTCTTTACTGTCACTAATTGGCCCGTCTGAAAGAAGCTATGGCCCAGAAGTAGCAGCTTTGAACAAAATGAAAAAATGTATATTCCTTCAGGACAACGTCAGGTAATACCTATTGAAAATGAGTCGCCAGAAGTTGCTAGTGTTTGGTGTGGAGGTCCTTATGTATCCAACTTATGTACCCAACGAAGATTACACCGCGTGCTTAGGTCTATTGTGCCATCTAACAATACGGAATTCCATACCATATACATAGTTTTCTTGGCAGATCAAAGTTAAAGTAGGTCAAACAGAGTATTAACCAAAACATAGCTAAAACAGTTATTTTAGGAGTCGAGCCGAAAAAGTTTCTATGAATTGTAATTTACATTGCTGCGATAGCTATAGACCCTGGTCGAGCTCCTGCATTTCAAAAAATATAACACACAAATTGCGTACAATGCACCTCAGGCATATGTGACATTCTGATATAAACACAAAAACAAACATATGTTATATGTAGAAAGCAACAACAACAACTGAGAAACGCATTTCTTTTTAAAAATCACGACGCACTTCCAACGAAATTGCCCTTTATGAACTTGTATGCATATTCAGAGTCGCTGAACAAGAGCCAAATGAAAAATCTGTGACTGTTGCGGCATGTGGCAACGTACATAAGTGCAATGCAAAAGCATTAAAATAAATGACCAAAAAACAAATAAGCGATTGCAATGCGAAACGAATTTCTTGGAGCGCAATATTTTCGAATTTGTAGCGAAGGGAAAAACAAAGCAAATTTCCGAGCAAAATATACATAATAAATACAAAATATATAGTATACATATATATGAGTGCATATATAGGTAGTGCATGCCTGAGTGGCATTTTCGTCAACTTACCGATTTGGCGCCGGTCGTGATGCGTGCACTTTGCGACCGTGTGGCCGGTCGTCGACGCCGATAGCCGGGCGTGCCGCCGCTCTCGGGTGTGGCACTGCCCGATGCCGCGCCGTACGGCGGCATATTATGTATGGCCGTTTCGATGCTGCCGCCGCTCGTTGCGCAAATGGAGGCGCTGCGCGTCTTCTTCTGCATGCGCATCGGTGAAAAGTCGTCGACCATTTTGAGGCTGAATTTTCACTGCACTTTGGATWTGCTCGCCTCGCTTTTGTGATTTGCAATTTTCCTCACCACGTCGCACGTCKGTTTCTCTGCTTCTTTGATCTTTGCCTGTGCGTTTCTTTGTTTGCTTGTTGGTGTCTGCGACGCTGTGTTTATTTTTGGTTACAATGTAATCGGTTTTTCGTCGTTTTTGTTGTTGTTGACTGTTTATTTGTGGTGTCGCTGTTTCGCTTTGTGGTTTTGCAAATTACGGTGAGCTTTTACTCTACTTTTTGATTTTTGATTGCAATCTCTTTGATTTTTCGTTTTAGTTGTTTGTATTGTGTTGTTGTTGTGTTTATTTTGATTTAAGTAATTAYTGTTRTTGTTGGTTAATTTGTAGCAGTAAYCAGTTTGAGAAGACGAGAAATTTCCTGAAAGAAGTAAAGAAAATTGTTGTAATTTAGTTGTACCTAATCCATTATTACATAAAAAAGACACTAATGGAGCAATTAAAATATTTTTCGTAATATCACAATTAATATCACATTAGCTAATTGCTCAATTAGTATTAATTTGACAATAATTTGATGAAAAGCTTGCAATATATGAGAAAAATGTTAAATATCGTGAGTTACTTAAGAAAGTACGGTTTAAGCGGTCACAACTTAAGTAAAAAACTAACTTCTCGCTTGGCCGGAGTTGATTTGAAATAATGTACGAAATTATTTAGAATTTTGATGTTAACGTCGGAAAATGAGGAAATTATTATTTTTTTTTATTAAGACTTAATATCTCGAAAGAATTGGTTTGATCTTAGACCCATCCGTGTGTTCTTATATGCATGAAATTTTCTTACTGTTCTATAAAAGCAGTGGCGGATAAAAGGATTTCAATTTTCTGACATAAATTAGTAACTGAAAAAATAAGAAAAATAGTATTTTTTTTTTGCCTTTGTGATATTCTATCTCTARCTCTTTCACTCAGCGTGATTCTTCAGAAAGAATCGATGGATCTGACAAAGGCGTCAAATATGATAGATACGCTGCTTGTAACGTCCCGAAATGGAAGTCAAAAAGGTGAGGCACATTTTTGATTCATTTATTCAGAACCGAAAAAACTGACGGCTGAACTTARAGTTGACAAAGAATCTGTGGCCGACAAGCAAAACGCGAAAATTTGTGCGTGAGAACTTGCGTAGAATACTACAGGGTCTCAGTGTAAATTCCTCTGTTG